TAAACAAAGGCGTTATGCTTTGATGTGTGTGTGCGCGCTCGGCCGGGGTTCAGGCTCTGTTTCCCCCCCCCCCCCCCCCCCTCCAGACCTGTTTGCTGATGCGGCAGCAGCACGAGGCGGCGGCCCTCAACGCCGTGCAGCGGATGGAGTGGCAGCTGAAGGTGCAGGAGCTGGACCCGGCGGGGCACAAGTCGCTGTGCGTCAACGAGGTGCCGTCCTTCTACGTGCCCATGGTGGACGTCAACGACGACTTCGTCCTGCTGCCGGCGTGACCCGGCGGAGCTCCCAGATCCAGAGCAAACTCCGCCCGGGCCGCCGCTCCTCAAAGAGACTTCGTCCAACGGAACGAACGGAAAGGGCTAGCAAGTTGGAGAGGAGACTTTCTGACGGGGGAAAAAAAAACAAAAAACGATGTTCTCTTGAAAAAGAAGTCGAGATGAAAACACTTTGCTCGCGGTTCCCCTTCCGTGGAGAGGAAAACCCGTTTTTTTTTTACTGGAGGAAAACAAAAATACACGACTTGCACTTTCATCCTCAAAGTTTTTACGCTTTTTGTTGGAGCGGAGTGCGAGAAGCAGAAACGGTTCCTGCTTTGAGGCTCTGACGTCGGGAGGGGGGGGGGAAACCCCCTCAGCGCCCGGCCACGGCGAAAAGGGGGGGGGGAAATACAGGTTTATTTTCTGCCTTTGTGTTCGGCCTCTTGCCTCAAAACCCGCCGCCCCAGGGAGGACATATCAGAGAAGAGCTGTCCCATGAGAGCTGCCCGCCCAGAGGGGGGGGGCTCCTGGTCAGCCTGGAGGTCCAGTGCTGACCCAGAAGGCGACGGAGGGAGCCACGGTGCACTGTGTGGATCTTTAGTGGCTTCAGGAAGCCTGAAGCAGGCACTGACGGAGGTTTTTTTTTTTGGTTTTTTTGTTTTGTTTTTTCGGGCTGCGAGAGGAGAGCCTCTGTGGTTTCCGCACAGGGCCGAGCTAAACAGTCGCCAGACAAAAGCCCGCAGCAGGTTTGAACGCAACGGAAAAGGTCAGGGCCCAGCGCCCGGGAGGAGGAGACTGACCCCGCGGCCCCCCGGCCGGGCTCCACAGAGCAGGGCGAGCGCGGGCCCCCGAGGACATACCGGAGTGTTCCTCAGCGGCTCGGCCCGCCCCCGACACAAACGCATCAGACCGCCGTGGACTGCAAAAAAAAAACCACCACAGGACAGCCAGAACAAACAAACCTAACGAATGTTGATGTTCAAAGAGACTATTGAGCAACTGAGGTTTGGCAGGAGGAGAGAAATCTTGTTTTTGTCTATTTCTTTACTTGGGCATTTCATTGTTTCTGAGGAAGTGACTTGAAACACTACAGAGCCAATATTAGTTTAATGGAAAAAAAAACAAAAGAAAACGAGAAAAAAAAGTTGTATTCGGTAAATTATGTACAGTTTTTATATTCGTTAACCAATGTATTCTTGCTGCCTTCTAGATAATTTATTTTGCCACACATTACTGCACAGTTGTAAATAACCTATGTACTGTAATATCACTCAGTTAAGTGTAAAGAAAAACAAAAAACAGAAAAGAAATAAAAATTATCTTTTTATGTACAGTTCACTTTTGGGCAGCACTTTCCCCCCCCCCTTTCATATCCAATGGGCCAAAATGTGTACACGATTCTGTCAGTATTTGAAAGACTCCCGTGCACAGTTGTGTGATCCCATCCCGACGCAAAAAGCTGACAGACCCCCCCCCACCAGAGTAAAGGCCACCCACCACACAGCCCCTCAGATGTAGCAGAATAGTTGTTGAGGATTTATTTAAAGTATAAACAGAAGATTATTATTCATTGCTTTACTACAAATTTAAAAAAAGTTTTGAACCAAGAAAATGCCTTTTTCAGTGAAAAAAAAAAAAAAAATGTACTCATTGTTGGGCAAAGTCACACAGACATATATGAGTGGGGTGAACTTTGGAGAGATGTCATTAACAAGCAGAACCATTGTAAGTGTCGAATGTTTTCAGGTTTTTTGCTGGGGTTTTTTTCTGTTTGTTTTTGTTTGTTTTTTGTTTTTGTTTTTTTGGCTTGTTTTTTTTTATTTCCTCAAATTGGAATTCATTTCTCGCCATCACAAAAGCTTAAAAGACACGGGTCGTTCAGCACGGCGCCTCATGCCCCATCTTTATGTTGAATACACTGAAGAGCTGGGTCTCTGAGATCCCCCCCCCCCCCTTCCCAAACATTCAGAAAGCAGCCTGGTCCCCTGGTGCCGTTCCACATCTCCCCACTGGGGGGCACCAGTGCGTCAGAACGCTCATCCTTATGGCTGAGCACGAGCCCTGGGGCCTTTCCCACCAGGATGGGTGTTTTTAAATATATTTGAATTTTACTGCAGCCCACAGGGGGAGGTTCACGTCCTCTCTCCGGTCACGTCATACTTGTAGTTTTTTTTTTTTTTATCCGTGTTTAATCAACATGGGGCTCGGCCCGCGCTGTCAGGGATTTTAATCGTTCGCTTACTTCCTCGTGTCGTTCAGTTGTGTGGTGGCGTTTGTCTCAAACACCTCGCGTCAGGCCCAAGCAGACAGTAATGAGACTTAAACCTTGAACCAAAAAGAAAAAGCAAACAGACATTTTACACAAACAGCGGAGGGGGGGAAAGAAAACAGCATAAAGCTGATCAGAATGATTTTTTAAAAACCTTTTTTTTTTTTTTTTTTTTTTTTAACCCAAGGAGATATTGATTTGTGAGGACTTGTGTTGGATCTCTGTTTTGGTGGTTGTGAAAAGCTTTCCTGCCCGTGTGAGAGAGCTGCTCACGTCTCCTGACGGCAATATGACCTGAAACCATTTAGTTATTCCCACTCGGCCCCGTTCAGCATAGCTGTGTATGGTATGTCTAGTCGAGTGCAATGGTTGTTGCTGATACACTGTGCAGACAAGGTGGCTAGTTGTGTAGTCCTGGTTATCACGGAGGGATACGTACATCCTGGTTACATGTACAAGTGTATTTACATCCAATTAGCCAGAATTGAGTTTGTCTTGTTTTTGTTTTTGTTTTTGTTTTTTATCCCCGTTTGTCTTGTTTTATATTTTGTTGTTTGTTTTTACAGCTTTTGGGAAGAAGGTGTCTTAGTTCACAGAGTTCTTGTGTGTGTGTGTGTGTTTTGTTTTGTTTTTTTCATTCTTTTTAGCTGCGTGTTTGTAGGTTTTAACATTTTGTTGATCTCTGTTTTGTTTTGTTTTTTTTACTTTTTCCAGCACGTCAATCACGTCTCCCATCGAGCAGAATGTATACCGCTAATTATGTCCCTCCTCCCCCCCTCCCTCCCTCCCCCCCGCCGCCGCCGTTGTTTACAAGATGTCACTTCCGTTTTTTGACGCGTCGCCCCGTTCTGTGACGGTCCAGGCTCTGCCTCCGTTTGTGCTTTCGGTGATTTGGCCATTTCTTTGAACTGCAAAGGCTTGAAATGGTGACAGGACTGACCGGCACCCCCCCCTCACCCCCTCACCCCAACGACTGCTGCACAGAGCTATAGACTAAACGCGGATCGAACTATCTGAAGGCAGTCATCAGATGCACAGTAGAGCACTTGGCCGTGGTGATACAGATGCTAGCCTGACACCACCTCAGTCAGCAACATATTACCTCTACTCTCCTCACATTCACTCATTATGTTTCTTTTGTTTTCTTACTGGCCATAAATGACACCTACTTGCTATATATATATTTTTTTTTCTTTGTATAGAATCACGATTTCAAGCCTTTTTTTTCTAGTTTTCTTTTGCTTTTTGTTTTTTTTTAATGAAAAACCCAGACTGTAGCTGTTTCTTGGTTCCTTTCTTCTTTTTTTTTTTTAGAATGGAAAACGACTAATAAAAAGCATGGAGAACTACTCTTTAAATGGTGAGAAATAACCTATTTATTATCTTTTTTTGTTTTGTTTTTTTTTTGTCGTTTTTTTTCTGACACCTGTGGTATGTTTTTTGAGTTGAAGTTGGTCTCCGCTGTGTAAATTTTCCTCCTTGTAATGCGTGAAAGAGACATACTGTACATAGCTCTGTAAATAAAACCTCCCAGGACGTTTTGCACCCTCCTCTTTGTACTAGTCTGAAAAATTGCGTAGAATGTGGGGTTCTAACAGCAGCGGGCTGTGTGCGCTCGCTGCAGGTGATTATGATGTAACAATGTAACATTTTTTTTATTTGTACAATGTAGTTTATTTGTGTACATATTGTTGGAGCAGCTAAAGGGGTGGGAGGGCGGTATATGGGGGAGGGGGGTGTCGATGCTATTGTCAGTGCTGTAACAGAACTTTCAGTACTTTCACCTCTAGCTGTTGTTGATTTCCTGCAAAAATTAAAATAAAAAAAAGGAAAGGCAAAAAAAAATGGAAATGAGAGAAACTGAAAATGAGTGTAGGATGGGGGGGGAAAGACTAAAACTGAAAAGTAAAAATTCTAAATTGTTATTTTCTACCGTTGCATGTACAGAGAGCGCGAGAACTGCTGTTGTTCCTCAGAGATTATGTTCGTTAATAAAATTTTGAAATATTACCAACTCTCTGCTTCTTCTGTCGTTTTCCACCGTTGTTTCCAATGGGCTGCTTCCCTAAGAGCCGCCCTCTAATCTTGAAAATACAGCTGAAAATGGGGAGATTTGAAACCCAGACCAGCAAAAAAATCGGGGAGGCCGTGTGCATAATGGTGTCTGATAGGTTACAAATCTTTAGACTCAGAAAAATGATTGTAGTTCCAGTGGAATGTCTCAATTCCACGACAGTGAAAAAGTCAGCAGCCATTGGTCATTTCTTTATAGTTTACCATAGTCATTACTCTTTTAAAATGTTATATCTGTTCCATCAGCGTTGATGCTGAACTTTTTATATAGTTGATTATAGGGTTGGAATGTACGCTCCAGTGTGTTTTGTAGATAAAACTACAGAAACGGGAGCAAATGTGGGTTTTGCCTCGAGGAAAACATGACACTTTGGATCCCTGCAGCCAGCCAAGGATCTGTTCAGTCACAAGGTAGAAAAACCTGTTTGAATCAACAGCTTTACTTGTTGTTTTTATGCATTTACACAGCTGCTCCTGTGATAACCCCTCCAGTTATCTGCAGACAGATTTTTCAGAGGGAAACAAAAAGCACTAGTAACCACCACAGCCTCATCATCAACCAGATGGAAATAAGAAATAAGGGACATTTCCCTCCTACTGTTGAAAATTGGATCGTTTTTTTGTCAGTGAATTTAACCTGCATTCATTCACATTACATGTTTTTGTTTTATGGAAATGAATCAGTTATGTTTCGCTTTAAGCCATTCCTCAGATGGATATATGATCAAAGCAAAGACAAACTTTTTTAGATGGAAGAATTTTTAGGCTGAATAATGACTAAAAAATGAAGGTGCTGAACATCTAAAAGCTTTAGGTTGGATAAAAAGTAATCTAGGTGCACAGTTAAGGAAAACAGTGTGGTGTTGAAATGCTTCAGTGCATTTCAGTTTTTTTTTTTTTTAGGTTAATTGTTCAAACTTAAATTAAACTTAAATGGCATCAGTCAGGGGGGGGGGGTCCCAGTTGTGACTCACAGAGATGTCAGACGGCTGTTTTGGCCACTTGGACTCGGTTACAACAGGTGATACTTCCAGAAATAAGTCAGCAGGGCAGGTGCTGGGAAGAATGCCCCCCCCATCCCAGGACTTCGTGTCTTATGACCCCTTTCCAGGCCCCGCCCCCCCCCTCTCCCTCCCAATACCTGCTGGTGCTGCGCGCAGCACCGGGAGTGCGCACTCGCTGCGCCATGGCCACAGGAGCGTCCGCCAGCGCGTCCCCGCGGCTCCTGATGGACTATGAGACCAAGATTTGGCCGCTGGCCGGCGGGTACGGCCGCTACAACCGCGTCGTGGTGTTGTTCAGCTGGTTCCCCACCTTCGCCGTCACGCTGAACCTCTGCAGCGACGCGTTCTTCACCCTCATCCCGGAGACCTACCACTGCAAGCCGGACCCGAGCCTGCTGCCCTCCGCCTTCCTCCTCAGCAACTTCTCCAAGCAGGGCTACCTCAACCTGACCATCCCCTGGGTCAACGGCAGCGGCCTCAGCCACTGCAAGCTGTTCAAGTACCCCCCCAACTCCTCCGACGTGCCGGGGAGGGGCCCGCGGGACACGGTGCCCTGCACCCGGGGGTGGGAGTACTCCGGCGTGGCGGGGCTCCACAGCAACTTCGTCACTGAGGTGAGGGGCTGATCTCTTGTCATTTGGGGGGGTTATGATGTGGAGGCTGTTCCCGGACGCGCGTTGGAAGCAAACAAGAGCACCGAGAAGAGCTTTGGAGTCCAAATCCAAACCAAAGACGCGCGTTTAACCACATTTCCCTCCATGGTGAACCTTCACCTCAGTTAGTTTTAAACAGCCGGTGTGCTTTCAACTTCCCAGGTTGTGTAACTCTGCAAATTAAATGATTCTTTCGGTCAATATTGACTCAGTTTGAGGCGTTTGTTCACTCTCACCTGTCACCGGTGAGGTGGCTGCTCCACCCAAACAGCTCTGGCCAAGTTAGCCTCTGTCTCTGTATCCTCTGGATGCAGAGATCATTTCCTTCATGTCTGTTGTGACACATGTGCCTTAGCTGGTCCAACTGTCCAAAGCTCAAGGAATGACAACAATGAGATTCCCAAAGAGGAAATGTCAAAATGGAGATGGAGGAGGAAGACTTTCAAACCGATTCTTGCCCCTTTGTGGCCAGAGATGTGATCCCAAGTGGATTTGATGAAGATAAGTTGTGTCTGGTTTAAGGAAAGAAGTATTTGTATCTTTAATTTGATCAAATCAAGATTTTGAAGCCTGCCACTTCATTTTTTATCCCCAACCGTTTTTTTCTAAGCATAATTTCAAAATGTGCTAATATAAGAGGGCTTTATTAATCTTCTTTTTAGTACATGAATAGTTTCTTTATGCGAGTTTACATGTGTTATCTTTGGAATGTTCATGAGATGGAACTAAATGGGAAAAACGTGGTGTCTTTGCAAAGAATCTGTCAGAAACTGTCCAACGATTCGATTTCAAACGGGTTCCATGCTGAATTTTCTGTGTCGACACATCTCTGCTCGTGGGATTTTTAAAGAGGAAAATGTTAAACAGACACAATCAGACAAGAAAGTCAGAAAAATGGACAGAAATGAGGGCTGGATACGTTCAGTCTTTTCCTTTTTTTATGAACCCCACCTGTTGATTGTGAGACTAGTTTGTGGAAAGGATTTCCACTCAGGCGTGTTGTGCAACAGGCTGCAGACTCTATCTGATCTGATCCATCCCGATCTGCCAATATTGACCTCGTGCTCTAACGGGAGCCCCTTTTCCCCAGGGGGTTGGGGGGGGGACCTCTGCCCCCCCGGCGGTGCGTGGGGCCGGACGGCTCATTACGGGTAATTGCCGCTCGGCTTGTTCTCAGATCACTGTCAGTTCCTCCCTCTGTGACTGAACCGTGGCGCTGGGAAGTCTGAAGCCTCGTCTTCCTTCCTGAGACCCTGAGCGCCTCCGTCCCCGCCAGCGGGGGCTTCCTCCTCCTCCCCCCCCCCGTGATGTCATTCCCCAGGACAAAGGAGGGCCGGGGAAGTGAAGAGCGCGGCACAATGGTGTGGAAACCAGCATCCAGCAGCAGCCACGGCCCGGCTGTGGCCGCCCGGGCCCATGGCGGCCTCCGTTTGTTTGTGGTGTCCTCTCCAGGGGGGGGGCTGGCGTTGGTGAAGGCCGCTCCTTCGCGTGCCCGGCCTCTGTGATGCCTTTTTACTTTCGTCAGAGCAGTTACGCAGGACACAACTGCTTGACCTGGTTTTAAGTTCTTTATCAGGGCTGGATTCCAGCTGTGAAAAACAAACCACCCCCCCCCCCCCCCCCCCCAAACCCCCCCCCCACCTCCAGACTCTGGACTTCAAATGAGTAAAGCATAGTTGAAGCTGTGTTTGGATCTTTCTCTGACGTTGTTCAGTATCTGAAGCACAAAGGAGTGCGGAGATTATGTCATTTAGCAATTTTCACACAAGGATTTGGCTATTTACACATTTAGATTTGGATACATGGATAATGGTGAACAGTTGAAAGATGAGATCCACGGGGTCGCGGTAACCGTATTAAGGGCAGGTGGTTTTATCTTCTTCAGACACCTCCGAAAGAACGAGGTGTTTTTATTTAGTCGGTTGCACTTTGAAGCTTTGCCACTAGATGTCATAAAATCCAGCATCCTGTTTTGTTACAGATGTTCACTTTCCCAAATGGAGTGTGTTTTTTTTTAAGCTGGCCCTAACCAGTCGTTCTCCCGCTTTTCTGGAGGTCTTTCGAAGTTTTTTCTTTGAACGCTGGTTGCGTTTTTAACCTTTTTCAGTCATTGCACGTGACAGTTTTTTTTGTTTGTTTGTAAAGCAGCTTCACACCTAGATATTTAACTTTTAAGCACAAATTTCAGTTTAAGGTGTGTCTTTGAGCCCTTGTTTCCATCTCTAGTTGTAGTTTGACATTTAATATCTCTCTATTAACAGAGCGAGTAGCTTAGAACTCTTTATCCACTTCTCCTCTTGAGTTCTTCTCACCATTTCATTGAATATAGCTGCATTCAGTGCGGTCATTGATGGCCAAATCCTACTTCAAAACTCAGTACCTCGCTGAGGAAACAAGAGGAGACAGTAGACGACACAAAGGGACAGCAGAGGAAAAATCTTCCAGCATGAAATGACCGGTACAAACCGGAGAGGAGCTGCTGGAAACTTTGAGTACTACTTTGTTCTAATGCAATAAAGACGTCAGCAGGTTTGTTAACTCAATAAAGAGGGACATGATGTGCATTCTTGTTTCCTGCCACAGTTTGCTGGCTATTTTCTGCATGTTGCACAGTCATGTTCAGATAAAGGCAGCGGGTCTGTGACGGTGCGTTCATGTGCTTTTTGAGAGTTTGCAAAAAAATTATATTTGCATCTGTAATGATTTGTTCCTTCTTTTGAAGATGGTATGGTGTGCGTACTCTATTCTATTTTGCTAAGGGCCCGCTACAGGTTTTAAAACGCATTCCCCGTCTTTCGGTTAGCTGCTGGATTTCATTCATGGCAGCTGTGTAAAGAAACGCACTGCTGTCAGCTGCTGTGAAATAAGATGTCAACAAGCGGCTACATAGGAGCCGGCCAATCGCTGGCTTTGAAGTGAGAGATTCAAACCCGGAGGACTAATATGTAGCCATGTTCCTCCATTACAGCGAGCCCCAGAGCTAAATAAGTTCTAATCTGCTGCTGGAAATAACCACCTACAACCCCACTGTTAGCCTCCGATAGAGAGATCTCTGCCAAAAAACTTCTCCACCCAACCTTTCGGGGTATTTTCTGAGTCTGAATGTTTTTGGGGGAAATACTTATTTGTCCATTGAGTGTGATTTATGCTGTCAGGAGTCACCGGACTTTGGGCCGAGTACACCAGTATTGATGAGACTATCGACACATAATTAGGTTTGGTCTTTTAATCCAGTTGGTCCCAACTTGGGGAGGAAGGGGGGTGTTAAAAAGACACAACGATTTGCAGATATCATGAACAATATTCGAGTGGACACAGAAATCATATAAAATGATGAAAGTAAGTGCATGTGGCTATTTCAGGGAAAGAATAAATTGGCTCATGTTGAATTCGATGTTAGTGACGCCTCTCAAAAGCAGAAAGAGAAAAACAAATATCCAGAAAATGTTTGTGGGAATGGATAGAAACAGCTGATGAAACACAACAAAGAAGACGAACCCTAACAGGCCAGTGATGTGATCGAGCGTTTAGAGAGTGAGAGTCTATATTTTTAAAATGAGCTGAATGGACCTGATTGTAGAAAAACAAAAAGTAAAAATCTAATTAAAGCTGTTCGCTTGTAAGCCCTCAGAGTAAATCTGCATGTGTGTTAATATGAAGCCTTGTTTGTGGTTGCGGCCGTGTCAGCGCCCTTCTCTTCATTTCTTTCAGTGGAACCTGGTTTGCAGCGATTACTGGAAGATCCCCGTGCAGCATATCTGCTTCATGATGGGATGGATTGTGGGATATGTCTTTCTTGGTACATTGTGTGACTGGTAAGTAATAAAGTGTTAAAAAAAAAACAACAACTTGTTTTGTGCAATTTGTTTTGGGACTTCGGTGTGATTGCGTGCATCATGTACGCCTGTGTGTGTGTGTGTGTGTGTGTGTTTTCAGGCTGGGTCGTCGGCGAGGCTTCCTCCTGTCCGTCAGCTTGTCCAGCCTCTTCGGGGTGGCCGTCTGTCTGTCCAGCAGCGCGGTGGGGTTCCTGCTGCTCCGTCTCTGTCAGGGCGGCACGCTGGCCGGCGTGTTTGTGTCCTCATATGTTGCCAGTAGGTCGCCTCCCGTCTATTCGGCTGCTCCGGCAGAAAAAGGCTCAAGTGATCTGCTTTTTCTTTTTTTTTACTTAAATTCATTTAGGCATGCAGTGCTTATTGATCAGTTCCAGAAATGTTTCAATTAACTGGGGGTGGGGGAATGCATAAAGAAGCCAAACAAATCTGATTTGAAAGAAAAAATGAGCAAAAGTAGAGACCAGAGGGTGAATAATAAGTGACACATGATCCTTACTGTATATCAGACGAGTTTCTGTTTCATCGGTGGGGAAAATCCCTCCACATGCTCTCAAAGACATTTTTTCAACATCTCTGCCTACTTTAGACTCTCTTCTATTCTGCAGCTGTTTATTTTTTCAATGCAAAGACCGACTAAATGTGTCTTTACGCTCCTTGAAAATCACATGTTATGTAAAGATTGCATAATGTTAATAAGATAACTCACAGCCTTGTGAGTCCCAGCGCAGAGCCAAATGTTTTCCGACTGTTAGTGGGTTTTTTGGGATTACACAAGGAATGCAAAAACAAAGGGAACTAAGAGATAAATAGTGAAAAAATATGCAGCACACGTATCTGTCCACAATGTTGACCTGTCAATCTTATCTGTAAAAGATAAGACCAAGTCCTGTCGGGCCCTTAAAGGAGTAAATTAGGAGTCCTGCGTATCTGTGTTATCTCATCTTCACTTCGGGAGCACAAAATAACTGTGTGTATTCTTTTAGCAACGATGTCAAAAAGTCCCTAACAAGAACCTTGAAGCACTTTCTTTCTCGACTCCCAAATTGATCTTTAGCGAGCTTCATATTAAATGTCCTCCAGTATGAAGACAGGGGCCACTTCTGTTCAGCTTAAAGTCTGCAGAAGTATCTGGAGATGATCTATAATTAACCAGTGGTCTCTTGACCTGTGGACAAAGATGTTATCTACGAGGCTTGCATCATTAGGAGTAAATAATCCAGTTGATTTGATTAGTTTATGTCCATCCATTCTTCTAACAGTTACATACATTTAGTCACTAAAAATCCAGTTGATGAGCGGAAAATTCAGTTTCTGCCGATGTACTGATCCCTATTTGGGTAGAGCATAGCTCTGAAGTCAGATATGTATGCCTGCAGAGATAAAAGCAAATAATTTTTATTTAAGCAAATCTTTTTGTGTGAATAGTGTTCACAAAAAATGCAGCTCAGCAGTACTTGACAGAACATCAAACTCTTTGACCGCCTCTTAACAATGTTTTAAATGGCTTTAAACAGGAAAAAAACTGCCACGACAAACATGATCAGTTTTTTTTGTTTTTATTAAGCAGTTTTTGCTTCATGCATTGAAAAATAACAGCACATAAGCACTGAGATCATGTACTGCTCTGCACAGTAAGTCAGGCCCCACCCTTCTTCAGACCTAAAGGCATCAACACCGCCCAACACAGTGAATGCAAGCCAGCACAGCTTGGTGTATAAACAGACCATATTATGAGGATTGTGAGCTTCCTCTTCCAGTTTCCTGCTGAAGTGCTCCCAGGATTCTCTGATTGCCCTGCATGTGTTGCTCGTAAGGTTCTGTCCACAAATTTTCAGCCATGTATGCACGATGAAACTTACGTGCAAGTCTAGATATTTAAAGAAAAAAATTAAGACATTTTCTAGTCGTTATCTTTTGCCTTTGTGCAGATCCCAGGATTTCTGCCTCCAGAGTTTGCTGGTATTTATCTGGATCTATTCTGCCTTCTATGGCTGAAATATTCTCAGTTCTGCAGCCTCCTTAACAAGCCCAAAGCGTGGCCAATCCTCCCTAAGGGCTTTCAGTTGGAGAGGCTTTTGTTCAACGGGTCCAAAAACGTCCACACGAAGTTATTCTGATGGGATTTCTTTGCCGAATTCATTTAAAATTTTCAAACTGCAGAATTTCTTTTGACCTCTTTGCTAGGGTGATGCATTATTTTACATTTATCAATGCAGCTCGTCCAAAGCGAGGGGGGCCTCATGGGGGCAAAATAACATTAGAGACAGTCAATTCCTGAGATGGAGGAGGCGTTCCAGGCAGTGAAGTGTTGCAGCGCTATCATCTAAGACGCTGCTTTAACGTACTCCCACATTCCTGCGAGGTCAGGACCCGATTGAGTCCAGATGAAGGTTGAGATCTTTTGGTTTCTGGACGATTATCCAGCAGGGTGGGATGCAGGCCCGAGGCAAAAGCAGAGAAGAAATTTCAAAACGGGCCCGAAGGCAGGGACGTGAGCAGGAAACGAGTTCATCATTATCTTGATCCACCACATCAACCCCGACAGGAAGGAGGTGTGTGAGGATCTGAGCAGGGAGGGAACCAGGCTAAAGTTCAGCAGAGAAACGGCAGTTTCAATCGGCCCGTTTAATGGGATATTTTCCCCTTTTCAAATATTTTATTCATTTTTCCTCAAAAAATGTTAATTAAATGAAGAAAATGAATGAATCCACAGCAAATTCCAAGGTGGAGCTCTGTGAGGGCTACTCCAAACATGTTACATGTTTATTCTTAGAATTCTTAGAATAAAACTCAGAATAAAAAAGGTTGATTTGAACTTTCTTATTAAAAAATTATGTTGACAGGTCAAAAAATTGCACCACGTAAACATCCCGAAAATCTCAGTTTTTCTTTTCATGAGAAGAATTGAGGAAACATTTCTTGAAAATTTTAAAGTAACATTGTTTTTTGTTTTTCGGGTTTCACAAAGAAACTATAGTAATGGCCAAGAAGTAGCAATTTCACTACGGGCAACCGTAAGCACTGAAAACTTCATTTCCAAAGAAAAAAAACTAAACAAATACCCCGTATCAGCTTTCATGACTGGATTAGAGACCCGTCATGCCGTGGAGGTCTGGGATCGGACCCGCTCAAACCTATTTGTTCTGCGTCGGTTCTGCTGTGATGTGACCTGTGTCCGGTCCCGTCTCTGTCTCAGGGCTGGAGGCGTGTGACCCCCCCCACCGCCTCATGGCCGCCATGGTCGGCGGCTTCTTCGCCGTGTCGGCCGAGCTCCTGCTGCCGGGCGTGGCCGTGCTGAGCCGCTATTGGCCCGTTCTCCAGGCCGTGGCCACGCTGCCCCTGCTGCTGCTGCTTTCCTACTGGTGGTGAGTCGGGGGGGGTAGAGTGTGAAGTCAAATACGTACACTGATGTTTCCCTGTAACCGCTCTCCCACGCATTCTGAGTGTGTCAGTAGTTTGAAACCTCTCGAGTGTTTAGCTCACACCCTCAAAGAGATGCACACACATTTACATGTGGCAATATGCAGAGATCCTCCCAGGAACATTCCAAGAACTTCTTGGAATTCTTGAGAACTTCTTTCAAACTTTCTTCATAAATCAGAAATTATTTTTGAGACCAAGAGTTGAGCCGCACAGTGCCAAAACAACACACATTTACATGAAGACAGGCTCAGAAGAATGGGATTTTACACCATTTCTTCTCTAATGTTGCTACTGTCAGTTCCGAGCTGCAAAAAATGTTGTGCGCATAACAGGCTTTTCTAAAGCCGACATGTCAGTGATTCATGCTGACATTTGTTCAACATCCCAAAACTTAACGCATCATGAAGCTGCATGTTTTTGCTGAACACGTCAGCCGCCCTTCGTCGGTGTTGCAGAGCTGTCTCATCTTGCTCTGATCTGATGAATGGAGTGGTTTTCTCAGCTGTGCGTCAGTGTTTCCCGAGTCTCCTCGCTGGCTGCTCGCCACAGATCAGATTCCGCAGGCCAAGCGGAGCCTCCTGGAATTCGCCACCAGGAACGGCGTTTGCATGCAAGATGAGATTTACCCCGGGGAAACTCTGCTCTCAGGTACGGAAACGGTCACGATCAGGCTGTTGCTTTCATCTGAGCAGTAACACAAAACAAGTCATGTCCTGTATCTTATTTTATTCAACATGTGGACCATTTAAATGGAAAACAACCCTTTCCTCCCAATGGAGACGCATTTCTGCTGTCGTGGCACAGTAATTGTGTTGTTGACTGTTGCCTTTGGGCCTTTAGGCAGAGGAGAGTTATAACATGCTCATAAACATGTTGGTTCAGCCTCCACCATGGAAAAAAAAATCAAGCTTTTCCAATTTAGACCCGCCCAGTTACTGAAGTCAAGCCTAAAATCAGCCCTGCACGCGATGCAAAGTTCAATATTTCGGCACCTTGGTGTAAATACAGTTAAGTTTCTTAAAAGATTAAACAGCCAATTTATGATCTGAGGTTCTTTGAATCTCATATGACAGTTTTTCAGATGTGGTATTTCATAAGAAGCTGTTACTGAAAATAATTTTATCAGTGACACTTTATGGTAACGTGAAGTATTCCTAGACTTATCCAGATTCTTTTAACTGCAGACAAAATTACACATTTAAAAGACATCTGTGGACTCAATTAATGAGCAATAAAATCTCCCACAGAGAAAGTTAGTCAAACTTTTGTTTATTTAGTACACAGGATATAATATTCCCTCACGTGAAGTGTTCACGTAACCATTTAATGACACTTTGATTGTGGCTTGATAAAACCTACTATCATATGGAACAAAACTAAAAAAATGTTTGTGTTTCTCTTTCATCACAAATGTCCATCCATCCTTAATTAACAATGAAAACACAGCAGGGCCTCGATGATGTTTATTCTTAATTGTTGTTGTGACTTTTTACTCTCAACCTGTTTTTGTAGAGATAGATTCGGCACACGGGGACGACTGTCAGCCCAGGTACCATTCAGTTCTGGAGCTGCGCCGGACCCGGGTCATCTGGAAGAACTGTCTCATCCTCAGCTTCACTCTGTGAGTTCTTGTTCCCAATGAACTCAATTTCCATGAAATCATCAGAACAATTTTCCCTCTCTTCATCCATTCCCCAGCTAAATTTGAACATCGCTGACCTTTAACCAGCTCAAATGTGTTTTGATAGTCTAGACTTGTGTCAAACGTTCCAAAAAAAAATAATTTTAAAACCCCTCTCGTTTCTCGTCCAGGTTTATTGGAACAGGCATCCAGTACTGCTTCACCAGAAACCTGCACATTTACTCCACTAACTTCTACTTCAGCTACTTCCTGCGCGTGATCACCGGGGCACTGGCCTGCGTCTTCATCTGCCTGTCGGTCAACCACTTTGGTCGGCGCGGAATGCTGCTGCTGTCCGCCATCATCACGGGGCTGTCCTCGCTGCTGCTGCTGGCCCTCACACAGTGTAGGTCTACGCCTGAGTGCCTCTCGCCTCCGCCCTCCACAGGCCAGGAGGGCCTCTGGAGGTAGACGTCGGATGGGAGCGAAGTGAAAGCCATTCGTTTTTACATAATCCATGAGAATCAGAAGGCAGTCGGTCACCTTGTTGTTCCTGGACGTTTACACGTCATCCTGCTGCCCAGATGTTTGTTGCTGCTGGACGGAGAGTGACTGGATCTGCTTCCTCCTCCCGTCGAAAGTCTGTCATAAGCTGATTTTCTGATTGCAGCTCATGTTTTAAGCCAGAGGGAATCCCACCTCGGCCAGTGAACTGACTGTATTACTGTAGCCCAGACAGTCATTTCCCTTTGTGTGTGTGTGTGTTTGTGTGTGTGTCAGACCTCCAGGGTGGCCTGGTGCTGGTGCTGTCCGTCGTGGGTCTGCTGTTCTCCCAGGCTCTGGCCATGCTCAGCGCCTTCTTTGCCTGTGAGGTGATGCCCACTGTGGTCCGGTGAGTGGTCCCGGCCAAAGCCACGAGGCTGCCAACTTGACCATCTTAAGATTTTTTTGTTTTTTGTTTTTTCCTTTTTCAGAGGTGGCTGCTTCGGCCTGGTGATGGCGGCGGGGTGCGTGGGCATGGCCGCCTCCTCCCTCATGGAGCTCCAGAACAACGGCGGCTACTTCCTGCACCACGTCATCTTCGCCTCCTTCGCCGTCCTCTCCGTCCTGTGCATCATGCTGCTGCCCGAGAGCAAGCGCAAGTCGCTGCCGGACTCCATGAAGGAGGGCGAGAGCCAGCGCCGGCCGCCGCTCTTCCTGTCGCGGCCCGACCGGGACAACCTGCCGCTGCTGTGCACGCGGGCCCCTCTGTCCGAGTACAACCCGGATAACTACTCCCGCCTGGTGTCCGCCACCAGGAAGATGTTGGCCAAAGACAGCCTGCCGTACAGGATCGCCGCGCCGGGTCATCCCCCGCTGCTGTCGGACAGCGACACGCAGGAGCGGGAGGCCGAGACACAAAGGGAGGTCTTAATGTAGCCGTCGCACCACTCGCCTCCACCGGTCAAACTTGAACTCCTTCTAAAAAAAATACCTCAGTCCTGCTCTCAGTCTTTATTAGAATAAAATAAAAAAGTCACAAGCTGGGAGTTATTCAGCTGAAGAACTGACCTCAGCTCGGGACACAGTGCACTTTAGAGCACCGGCTCCACTTTTCTGCAGCACTCCTGTCTCCCTGTTGTATCTATTTTCCCCCCCCACACACACACACTCACATTCATGTATTGTGCAACAAGCCCTAAGTATCATCCAGATCTGAGTACATGCAAAACGTCTCTGTAAAAACGCTCGTGCGGGCGGTTTTAAGCTGATAAAGAAACCCAAAAAGAATTTCACTGACTATTTGTCGAGAAACATTTGAGCTCAATTGGCTCATCTTTTGGGAGGTATTCAGACCCACGTGACGGACAAAGGGTTTTGTTGAATCAAATCTGAGGCGTGCGGATGCTGCTGGTTGTGCGAGAAGCAGCCCTTTGTCCGGTAATGGGTGACGTGTAGTTTGACAGAGTCTGGCCAAATACCTCACCGGTAGGGCCTTAGTGCTGAGAGGAGCCTGAGTGTCACCAGGAATCACAAGACTGAGGGCTCTGCAGGAAGCACGGGTCTCTGGACATCACGATTCTCCGGGCATGGCTTCCTTAACAAGCCCTGCTAATTCATATATTTAATAACATGCAGAGAAGTCTCTGAGGCACAAGAGTTAAGAGCTGTTCTAACCACCGTGGGGCTGACGGAGAGAGGAGCGAGGCATACCACGGACAAACGACAGCACCGATGCTGGGATGTTTCAGAAGACCATCTCACTGAAGGGAGTTTTATCCTTATGGATTTAGGAATATATAATGTTTAATGCTGAGAAGTTGTGATGTTTAAGCTCCTACAGCTTCCAACAGCATCACCGGAACTGTATTTTCCTTAAAAGATTGACTTTTGCTTTTTTTTGAGCTATGAGAAAATGTTTGTCAATGCAAAAAGGTCCTACCGATGCTAAGTTAAGCTTAGCACAGTTTTGCTGCGTCTGTCTGTTTTTATCCAATGAAAAACATTTCAAACAAATGGGGCCTTTTCTATGACTTGGACATTACACTTCACACCTCACAGAATGAAATCAAGACTTGTTTCCCTTATCAATCCAAGGGGTTGTCGTGTCTTGCTAAGAACACTAGATGGCGCTGTGCTCTTAAAAATATGTGTACTGTACAGTATACCAAAAGTCAGCTCATTCAGTTATTAATGCACCTTTATGAATTTATTTAGCTAACAAGGGACATTTGTAAGAACAACCTTTATTTACAATACAATCTATTACATTAATATTACCTCCTTAAAGTCTTTTTCGTGGATGAATAGATGAGTTGAAAGTTTGGCTGGTCTAAATGAACAGACCAAACTTCACCAAACCTCCTTTCAGCAAAGCTATCAAGTATAATTCACAGAAAAAACACAAGCTAAAACGTCTCTAAACCTTTTACAACCATTTAGTTAAAGCTGCCCAGCCTACGGTTGGTGGTGCTGATCAGGAGTCCGGTGGGCTGTTTATGAGACACAGGCCTGGAGAGCCAGAGCCAGCAGAAGCGCCGCTGCACTGACTGTGTGAACGGCGCCAGCATCCGGGTAGCCGAAGCTCGTCCTGCACGTGTTCTTCACCTCGTCGTAGGGAATGGGAACATCGTCTGGCATCCCCGCAGACATGCTGTCCCGGACCTGAAGCACAGAGACAGCACTGTGTTTCACCCATTTCTGCACCGCCACAGTTTAAGCTCCAATAAAGGAAGAAAATCCACATGCATACATGAATTTATTCTGATCTTTGGATATTTCTTTTTGTGTACCTCTCATATGCATCCTGTAATACTAATTTCCTCTGGTGCTTTCACGGCTACAACCATGATGTGGAGAGGGCATTCAGACTGGGGGACTAACTGGGATTTTTACATATTTTTGGACAGCTCGTTACAATTTTTTCAAATTTGAATTGTGAGAGATTCGAGTATCTTAAGCCATGTTGGGATGTTTGAAAATTTGGGGTAAACTGCCAGTGTTTGGCAGTGAATGCTCACAATACATAATAAAGTCACTAATTAACATAATTTTCTTTTTTTTGGTCATGAAAAGAGGCCAGAGTTGGGAAATAAACTAAGGTGCAAATTATTAGATTAAATTAGATTAGATTAGAAGAAGCTTGAACCATTTTCATATTAAAATATGGTTTTAAAAAAATTAAGATGCTTTGTTAGTTTTGAATTGATGCAAACATGAAAACAGTTTGCCTGGCTTTTTCCAAAAGGACATCCAATTGTCCAGCCAACATTTCTTATGGTCATTTGAACACTGTGTTCGAATTGTTATCATTCGCACAAACCCAGTAAAAAGTTACTGGCTTCATTGCTAGGATGCATGTGCTGTTTTTTCAAATTTCTTGCCATCCTTTATAATCCATCTCATACTCATGACACAGTAGCACTCTATTTTTTATTTTCTCACCTCCTCGACTTTTCTCATAACCCGGAGCAAGTTATTTCCAAGTGCGTCTTTAACTTCTTCATCGCTCCACCCCCTCCTCAGCAGTTCAGCCACCAGATTGGGGACCTTTGACACGTCCTCCAAACCCACCGGTAGTCTGAGAGGATGTGTTGGTGAGAGAACAAGTGATCTGTTACCATTATACATGCAGCCTCCATGTCACAGTTTTAAGTGCTTGTTTAACAACTTTTTTGTCTTTCATCCCAAGTCTTCAGTGTCATAACTTTCCGTAAGATAAGGCCTAAGTGTAAAAACTAAATTTACTATAATTCTAAGGGAAAAAACATAACTATTGTCTGGCATAGAGAAACTTGTTGCCAAGTTGTGTGTTATTTGCAATTTTGAATACGTCATTCATGTGAGATAAAAATAGTTTTCAGCAACAACTTCATTTTACAACTTTATAATCAAGTTAATATAACAGGCTTACCTCGTAACTCCATCATAATCTCCTCCAAAACCGATGATACCTGACCCTGCAACTTTCTTTATGTGGTCAAAGTGATCTGCAAACATAATAGTAAACTTGAGATTATAGTGGATGGATTTTAAGAGAGTGACAAATGTTAATCTTTGTCATATTCACAGCAACGGTAAGGGTCATAACTGTTATTTACCAGCAACATCTGAGAGCGTGGCTGTCTTGCTGCAGGTTACATAATCATTGTAGAAGTTAACCATCACGATTCCTCTGGTTTGGTTCTGGAGAGACAGACAGAAATGCTTCAGCCCAGAGAAACACTCAGGAGAATGACGTGGAAAATTAATATATTCAAATATTAATCCAAATAAAAATATTAAACTCTTCTAGCTTACCTGTTATAGAGTACACCATCTGCTTAATTTATCCAACACTTGTATGTGTTTGTTATCACATTATATAATTCTACCTGTAAATTGCAATCAAGCATGTCACATGCATTTAGAAGATATGCATGGGAGTGCTGATCTGATGGTGTCATAAAAAGCTTTTATGGGTTTGTTATGAGGTTCCAAACAACTCGATGTACTTTTAAAGCTTTTTACAGCTTCAGGAAACTGGTGCCATCTGTTGATACATATTGCTTTTGCTTGAAATTGAATGTAAACTTTATTCATTTAAACTTCCACTTCAACACCTTTACACAAAAGCAAAGGTGTTTTTGAACAAAATCTGGCATCTGGACACCAGTAAGAGATTCAGGTTGAAACTTGGCATGTAATAAAATATAATAATTTGTTCAAAATGAAATAAATAAAACGGTAATGTCTTACAATGACTTAGAACGAACTAAGCATCTTTTGGTATTAATGAAACATTACATGGACAAAAAAAGGGAGGAAAATGCTGATAATCTTTTTCAGGAAACCATTTGAGTACTTTCACTTGTCTTCAGTGTGGTAATCATGGTTTCCTCTTCCACCTCCAACTCTCAGACTCACCACTCTGATGAGAACATCATCTGGAACATTCCTCTTGTGTGGACAGACAGTGTATGCGGATGAGTGGCTGAAAATGACCGGAGCTTTCGACATGTCCAGCACCTGGTTCATCACTTGTTCGGTAACGTGAGCCAGGTCGATCAGCATCCCGAGGCGGTTCATTTCAACAATCAGTTGCTGTTTTAGAAAAGAGCTTCTGTGATTATCATAGTAACAATCATTTTAGAAGTATGTTTTTAGAGGCGTTTCCTTCTTTCTGGCCTGACTTTTCTGGTCAGATGGTTTAAGACGGGACTGCTTCAGCAGAGTGACCTAAATTTATTGACTTGTTTAATAAAAAATGCTGAATTCTATTCATCCCCCCTCACATCAGCACATGAGCGTGTCAATAAAGTGTCTACAGATATTGTTAAACATGTGTTTGTGCTTACATAAGAAAGGTTTTGAGCAATAAGTTCTCTGTAACTCATCCTTTTCCATTATAAAAGTGCAATATAATGGTTTCTATTAAGCTTTGCTACACAATAAAACACAGTAAATCAATACTTTCTGTCTTAGAGAATGAACAAAGTACGCGAATAAAAGTTTTTCACTTGTAAACGCCTTTCTATTTCACCACCATAGAACTGTTAAATACTCAGACCAGAAGTGAACCTGCCTGCAGTTTTTTTTAGACTAATTGGTCCCCTCTGAGGGGGTAATTAGCCTTTTTCTGTTGAAAACACTGACCTTGCCAAAAGGTGACAGACCATTGTGTTGAGATGGTTCTGATCCAGTGTCAACAAGCCAGTTATCTGCCCTGGCAGGAAAAATTGTTAAAACATGGCAAATAGATTATTCACCTGCTTAGAATAAACATAGTTAATGTTTGAATGTGACAATACCTCCTGAGACCTTGCATCATCATGTGAGGAAATTGCATTTTTGCCTCTCTTTACTATGATACTTTTCACCTTTGACCTCTTAGCCCCATAGCAGACGCTGTTAAACATTACTGTTTGAAATCTAAAGTTAAATAGTAAAAACAAATCATGCTCTTATTGTGCAATTGAAATTATAAGTAATTTGGACCACCAGAACCAAACAGCAAAAATATTTAATAAAGATATTAACAAATATCTTTCATAAAAAGATAAACCACCTGAGCTTACACAAAGAAAAACTACCTGTACCATGACAAAGTCTAGTTATTGAACTTATTTGGTCCTACCAATCCCATATATCCTGAAAAAGCAAAAATGCACACCAAATAAGAGCTTGGGTCTCAGGAGGGAAAAGAAAACTGCACAGTGATTTCACAAATATCAGTTTTCATCTCATCTTCTCATCTCCTCTCATTCTCATCTCATCTTCATTTTTGTTTTCATTTAAGATCTCAGAAAGAAAAATGAGACCTGTGAAGTTGGCCTAACAGAAATCAAATTGACATATCTACAACCGAGTTATTTCCAATTGTACTCCGGTCAGTGATAAAAACGTGACACACCTTAGAACTTTTATTTTGTTACACTACAGAACTACTTTTCAGGGAGGCAGGATGAAGGTGACAACGTTTCCTGTCAGCTATCTATAGTACATTTCAAAGGGTGATGCTGTCTCACTTGATCAGGCAGAGATTATCAGAACCAACTTGACTACTCAGAAAGTGATATGTGGCACATCAGGCTTGCAGGAATTCCCCAGACTCTCCTCAGATAAGACGGTCAACAGGCTTAACTGAAACTTTTATGACAGTTTGGTTAACATATTCAGAAGCCTCCCCTTTTATTACTCAATACTGTTTGACAATTTTTGGGAGCAACTTGGTGTGTATGTAAAGCATCATCATGTTTTTTAATGTGAACATGCCGTGCTGATAAGAAAAACTTTCAGTAAATGTGCAGATTTTTCAACAAAAAATCTAAGATATTTGTTATTTTTGCTCTTAATTATTCCGAGTTATCTTAAAAAGCTACATTTGCCTTGTTCTTACCAAGGTGTGTTACAGGAGTGTGTGAGGGTGAGGTAGCGGACGCCCAGGTGATACATGGTGCGCAGGGTACCCAGGCTGCTGTCCAGGGAGTGACCGCCCTCCACCCCGATCAGACTGGCTGTCTTATTCATGTTGAAGGCATCCATGATCTCTGTGCAGGTGCAAAAGAAAATCATTTGTGACAGAAGAGAACGGGCCTGGGCACAGAAACATAAAGTAATGCTTCTATTCCTTTGGATCAAAGTCTCACCGTCACTACTGGTGGCAAACATGAAGGTTTCTGGGTATTTCTGACACATCCTGTGAACTACATCTATCTGCTCCAGTGTTTGTCTGACAGCATCTTTGTACTGGGTCTCACAGGGCACATAAGCCGACCAGAACTGAGAGAAAAGCAAAGACATCACCAAAGAATCAACATCAAAATCGAATCAAAGCCTTTTAGTCATTTACTCAATTCTTCATTCACAATAGCAAATCCCTTTTGCTGAAAGCATTGTTTTCTCATAACAGAGGCTTTCATAACTTCAGCATGAAACTAGCAAAACTTTAGCTTAAGTTTTCCTTAAGCTGGGACCTTACTGGCAAACCTCATTTGCCTTATAGGCAAATCACTACTTGTAAAAATGTGAAACCTGATGACAAATCGTCTGCTTCTCAATAAAACAAACACAAATTTTCCACTGTCATGACCCTGAATCAACTACAAGGTACCACTATAAAGAATATGCTGACCTCTCAGACCATCACATGATCAGCTTTGGATCAAATAGCATTGAGTCAGATAACTGAGTCCAAAAATGGGTGTTAGTGGAAGGAACTTAATTAAAAAATAACTTGTTTAATAGTTTAATAGATTAATAGTTTAATAGCTGTTTAATAGCTTAATAGTTTAATAGCTGTTTAATAGCTT